CACAAGCTGGCGTGAGTAGGTTAAACGTTGAGTTTTAAGGGCACCACTGGTGACCAGCCCTTCCCACCCAGCCCCACCCCCCCACCCCCCCCCAGCCCCACCCTCCCCCACCCAGCCGCTCCCTTCCCCACCCAGTCCCTCCCCACCCTCCCCACCCAGCCCCTCCCCACCCTCCCCTCTCCACCCAGCCCCCCCCTCCCCCTCCCATGTTTGGATGCACGACGGACGACAAACAAAATAATCTTCTGTGGGCTGGTGGAACCAGGTGGTTCCTACCATTAATTTGTAAAAACAAGGTTTGCTCTGCCACAGACCCCCCTCAACTCCAAGGCCAACATTTTCTTAGTCATATCAATGTTTATGGTCCAGGTGATATCCGCTCATTAAAGTTTTCTTTCAGACGCGTTGAATTTTGAGGTTATTCGATTCGATGTGCCAGAATGTTTATTTTTTACTGCAGAGGAATCCGATGAGCTATGACGCTCTTCTTTCACAGATATCCAGCAGGACACACGGGGTCAAACGTTACAGCAGCAACAAGCAGCGACAAAAAACACGATATGAGTGCAAAGTAGGATAGGAAAGGTAAGCAAGTCACAAAACAATCACAAAAACTAAACCATTTTTTCTTATTTTACCAGGCAAGCCCACTGAGCTATTAGCTTCTTTTCAGAAGCGACCCTCGCCACGATTGCCCAACGAATAAATATTCAATTGGAATCGCAACAGGGAGTGCTGGTGCACAGCGATGATCCAGTGATTCGGAGGCAAAGAGGAAACTGTGGAGGGTATTTGGCCTACTCGTCACGTTGACCTGACGTATTGGAAGGGGGTGAGCGCACTCTCACTCTGCCCCCCCCCCCCCCGCCGCACACGCGAGCCGCCAAATGAACTGTGGTGAACACGTTATACCGTCGTTTAGACATTCCCGTTCGTTTAGACGTTCCCTAGTTTAGACGGTCCCGTTATTTAGAGTTCCCGGAGATGGAATCGAATCCCGGCGCTTAACCAGTTCGACACATAAAGAGTCCAGTACAAGGCACAGCCTGCAACAAGGAGGAGGGGGGGGGCGGGGGAGGTGATTACAAAAAACTCCGCGGACTGAGGCCTGCTGGCCTCAATACTCCTGGTCCGTAGATGGGGCACAGGGGAGTGCGTTAACGGACCGTGCGTCACACGACGCAAGGTCATTCCGACCCGCACGCCGCGCGATCAAGAATTGCCACGGGTGCCGTCGCTGTGCGAAGGTGTCGCACGGCGGGAAATAAGTGTTCGGTCGCGTTGAGGTTCGTGTGAATGAGCGGCGTGCGTGTGTGTGCGTGCGTGTGTGTGTGCGGCGGTGAACGAGAGACGTGTGTCAACTTGCCTGAGCCCCAGAGGTTCCCGTAGGCCAAACTTTGACTCGTTCCCCAACACCTGGCTTATCTGAGGGAGCGGGAATGCAAAGAGGGGGGGGGGGGGGGAAAGCAACAACAACAAAATCTGAAAATTGAAATCAACGTGCGACAAGTTAACATTTTTCTTTTGAAGGCTGGCCGCAACCACGAAGACAAGTCCACGGAACGCTCGATACGGAATCGCGATCCTGCGCCGCCAGTGGCGCACAAGCACGAAGAATGACGATAAATAATAAAGAGTAATAATAATGACACCACAGAATGCGACACGTTCGACAGAAACGCCGCCCCAAATGGATGCGCATCTACTGTGGCGGGCGTCGCTTCGGGCATTGGCCCTTCGGCATGGTGGGTGACATCGCCCCAAGCGTTGCCGATTACATTTGAGCCATTTCTGTTCTTGCGCGGTGAGAGGGGTGCGGCGAATCGTGCAAAACGTAAGCGCAAGACACAATGTAAACACACGAAGAAGGGGAGGCGCACACAACGTCCCAGGGGGCAGAGGAGGCAACACAAAACGCCAAAAACACGCACCGGATCGATGACACTTCCTACAATTATTCTAACCGTTGATTACACTGGTCAACACACTTTTTCTGGCATAAGCTATTCCAACGGTTATAAGGTAACTTTGGGGTGCTGATTCCAAATCTGGCATCAGTTTTTGTCCCTCACATCTTTTGAGATATCAAATATTGCATTTTCAATAAAAACTGCAGAAAAAATATATAAAATAAATGTGGATATCTACATAAAATGAGATTATAAAACACACTATCCTAAAAATACAGCACCATATTTTAACACTAAAGCAGTCACTGACTCGCAACAACTTGCAATCATAAGTGACAGAGTTAATTTCGGGTAAAATCAATGAAAATGGGGTATGCCGATAGTATAAAAATGAGATGTGATAGAGCAAATCTGAGATCAGATTTGGAATCAGCACCCTGAAATTAGTCTAAAACAGCTGCAAAAGTCCAGGCCAGAAAAAAAATGTTTTTTTTTGTTGACCAGTGTTATCCGAGTGGTTACTGAGAAATAATTAGACACGACTGGTGGGTCGCCTCTGTGTGTAATCCAACCACCATCCTACAGGTACGCAATATTCCGTCGTGCTATCTGTTGCTTGTATTCGCACCGGATGGGCTCACAGTGATGACATCACCTTTAATCAGAATCAGAGAGGGTTT